GGAAGTTTGAAAAAATGCCCATGCTAACAGGCCAGGGGACAGGAATTTGCTGTATCTGACAGGCTGTATGCAAGAAGGATGCAGCACTGCAAACTCGGCAGTGCAGCTTTGCCAACGTGTCTAGACAGCCCATCTCCACGGGGGAGAGAGAATCTTATTTCTTGGACCCGCTCCATCTGTGGCTGCTCCGATGAGACAAGCCCACTTACTGGTCTCCTTTATCGATGGAGACTTTGTGTCCAAGTTTGGGGTTGTGCTGAGCTTGCTCAGCCCTCGTTGCGTGGTGACCAGTCGTCTGCATGAACTGATTTGGGCTCCCGCAGCTGGCGGGATGCAGTGGTTGGAGCAGGGGAACGGGGCGCAGCACGGGTGCGTAGTCATGTTTCTCCAACTGTGCTACTTTGGGTGAGCCATCAAATCTTTTGCTGGTTTTGAGATACTCCTCTGTTAGGTGAGGATGTGCCTAGTCTGGCAATGGATGTGATTCATTAGCTAGAGCCTTTAAAAACCCTTAAATTCTGCTAAATTGTGCTAGAGTGGCAGCATTAGTCTGCTAGCCCTGCACCAGAGCAAAAGCAGTGCTTTGTGGCTGAGATATCCTGCATCTCCATACAGGTCCCCTAAATTGTCTGATCCTCCAGGTTAGAGTATCTGACATTTCAGCCAGATTAAGGGCAGCAATAAGCAGATATCCTATAATATATTCATCACCTGGAGGCAAAGATTATTACTCCGTATTAGGGATTGTCGTTTCCAACATATCCCTCGGTTGCCCCAATTCGCAGGAGCTCTGACAGTCGTTATTCTGCGTCCTCTGCTGGGAGTTGCGCTTTTCAAACTGCAGTGAACTTTGTGGAAATACAGAGGTTTCCATTTTTCAGCCTTTTGATTTAAAATCTCTAGATGATTGTTCAACTCTGGCAGGGAACCATTCAAAATACATTCCAAAATATTCATCATTCCAGCAGGCTAAGAAACATAAGATGCAGCAATTTATTAGCTAATGTGAAATGCATTTGCTGTCCAGAAGAGGCTAAGGATGGAGGTGGATCTGAGCCTGATTTCCCTTTGCATCCTGCAGAGCCGGAGTGCGGAGCACGCTGGAGCCTGTGGTCCGTCCCATCCGCCCTCCTGTTTTGCTGAATGTCCCCGTGTCCAGCAAAAAGCCCCCAGAGCCCAGCAGCAGCCTTGTCCCTCCTCCCTGTCCCCTGGCCTTAGAAGAGCAGGTTTTCACTATGGACCTGGGAAGGAGAAAGAGTTGTTTTGAAATGGCCCTACACAATCTAATCCCTTTGCCTCCTGTAGCGATGCGGGATGTAAAGGTCCTTTATCCCCCACCCAAGGAGCGTGCTCCCAGTCAGGATGCTCAGCCCTTGGAAGAGGCAGGTGGGCTGGATGCTGACAGCTGGGCTCAAGTTCTGTTATTTCTGGATCTCGGATGCCATCGTTTTTCCAGTTGTGATCAAGAGGGAGCCATAAAATGCATTAACGGTCAAAATCTGGATTTCTAAGCGAAGCTCTGCAGAGGCTCCAGTGCAATTTGCTTGGTAGGGACGATGGTAGTGGCGGTCTGATTTGGTCGAAACACATTTGTTCTTGGGTGCTAATGAAAGGGGAGCGCAGCCTGTGGAGAGCTGGTTTCGACATTCTCACCGTCGTTTGCACTGCCCCTTCTCCTGGCCCATGATGCCCCATGGTCCCGGCACAGTCGTTCTGTGCCATGCAGTTTGCAGTCCTGGATATTTCAACAATAAACAGATGAAAAATCCATTGAGAACAGTGTTTCTGCCTACCGGTGGGGCCAGCTGGCGTGTGCATCCCACCGGTCATTGTCTGCTCGCGCAGGTCCCACGTACCAAAAAAACATGTCCAAGTGAATTTCCAGATCCAGTCGGGATGGGGCTGTTTAATAATGGCACTTCTCAGCAGCACAGTGGGCCTCCGCGGGGACCTGAACAAGCGGAGACATTCATGAAGTTGGTCAGCTTGAGTCAGTCTTTCCCGGTGCGGGCGGGAGACTGCTGGGTAACGTTTGCAGACTCTTGCGGCTGCCACAGCGTTTGGAAATGAGCCAGCTGAAAGGCCCGAAATGCCAAGTGGTTCATCTGCAACGTATATATGGAGTGAAAAAAAAATCCCCCGCAAAGCAGCCCTTTTCTATCTTGGCAAAACCTTTTTTTTCCTTTCTTTTTTCCTCTCCTTTCCTCCTCCTTTCCTCCTCCTTTCCTTTTTTTCTTTTACACTTAACGGCTTCTTGCAAAAATATCTCTAATTTTTCCTGTTAGAAAGTTTTTCTAGCTGAAGTTCATGAGGATTTTGTGCCACTAGTGTTTTTAAACACTAGAGAAAATGTAATAAAAGCAGTGCTGCCCAGAGTTCAGGTGGGTGTGCACTGGGAGGGGGACTGCAGGGTCCCCGCTTCGTGGCTTCTGGCTGATGCATCCTTCTATGTGAGTGCTAACAGGGAGGCTCAACCTTCTGAATCTGTGGCCATCAGAAGAGGGTGGAAGTGGTTTCTATCTGTTTGGGTCTCAGGGACTACTCTGAGGGCTGGAGAGACCTTGAAAAGACTGAAGTGTACCATCCGGAAGGGTTGGAGCAACCATAGTATTGCCTGTGTTGTGCTCCTGGCTCCAGTACAACCCATTAACCCCTGGCCCAAGCACCAGCACCACATCGTTTTTGCTCTCTCCTAGGGACTCCTTCCTGTGGAAGGAATCAAAATCCACCCCACGCTTGGTCCCTGCAATGAGGGAGTCTCCCTAACACGTTCTGTATTTTGTTGTTAGAGTCTTGCCCAGCAGCTTGGCGTCAAAGGGCATATTGATCCCTGAGACCTGGGGCATAGGTGACACCTGTTTGTGATTTGTGTCGAGCTATAGGTCTGTGGCTCACCTCTGTACATAAAGAGAAACGGGACACCAGGTAAATCCAACAGGAAAGCAGGTGGAAATAATACTGTGTGCCTTTTGTGTAACGCGTAAGCCTGTGGAGCTCGCTGGAGGGGGATATGAGTGTGGAAAATAGATTAATAGCCTGTCCTTGCCTAATTGTCATGACAGTCATTGCCACTATCTTTGAGGCAGCTGGTGGTATCCAGGTGGACGTGGATACTGACCTTCCTGGTGCACCAGTCTGCTCCTCATGGGAAGTTCTCATTACACGGTCAAGCTAAGAGCAGTGTTGACTCTTAAGAAGAATACTCTCAGCTGTTGTGCTGGTTTGGGTATACACCACATACATGTTAGAGTTAAAAGGGGCAGCATTACACAATTCGGCTTTTCAAGCCTTCGTAGAAAGGACAAGAAAGGGTGCCGGAGAGGAGAGGAGAAAGACGTTATCTGGAATGAACTAGGGCAGGGAGGGGGCCAAGAGCATAGAGAGGCGGCTTTGGAAATGAGAAAATACCAATGAGGCAGGGCGGAGGTTAGGAAGTTTGATCTTGGCTGCATGAATGCCGTTCCTAAGATGAAACATCAGGACACATGGCATGGGAAGGAGAGCTGATGGGAAGAGGATGTGGGCGTTGGAAGTCATACCCCTGACCTTGCAAAGCCATGACTTTACACGTGTTCAGCGCTGCCAAACGCACTGATCCCAGGTCTTACCCAAAAATAAGGAAGGGGCTGTGAAGGCTGAGGTGCTCCAGCTTTCCAGGGAAGGTCTGGTGGTCATACTGGCACCAGTGGCTGGATGTCATTGCGGAGGAGTGCTGCGCTGGGAAGCACAGACCCGTTTTAGATATGATACCTTTGCATATGGTGGTAGGGTTTGGCTGGCGGAGCTGTGTGATTGCATTTCTGCTCTTCTGTCACAGGTCCAATGCTTTTGTGGCATCGGACTACCCTAACGAGGGACTCGAGGGGGACTGCAGCCCCCTAGGATCCTGTCCCCTCCCGAGCCTGGTAAATCCACCCTGCTGGATCGCCGCCACAGTCTGGTGGTTTGGTCTCTTTGTCAGTTACAAAGTGCAGTCTCACAGAACATGATTTGCCGCTGGCAGGCTTTTAAAATATGTGTTTGCTTTTGATTATATTTTTTTAAAATTAATTTTCCAAGGATCAATGTGGTAATGCATATAAAAATTACAATATGTAAAACAAAGTATAAAAGCATACAAGGAATTCCAAACACATAACATACTGTGCCTTGGAGCTTATGAGATCCATACAGCGCTTATTGTATTATGGGAACACTCTGACCCCAAGACCCGGCGGAAAGGCTTGTTAGAAGAGCAGGACTAAGCCATGTGCCTTATGAGCTGTAGGATGCCCAGAAGGAAAACCCTAGCGAATATAAAAGCAGAGCTGTTACAGCAGAACTCAGACTGGTCTGTGGGATCTAGGGGGACTTTCAATGGCTTTGTACCAATTTCTGGAGAAGGATGTATGCTTTTGCCCCCCGCAAATATTGTTCTCCCAGTAATTAACACTTAACGTCATGTCTTTCCAGGGATACTCTCTGGATTTCCATTGGATCATGATTACTTTTTTTTTCTGAACATCATTTCTTCTGTCAACTCCAGCATGCGCGAACGTTGACGTGGTTAGGGAGGATGCACATCTTAGCTGCTATAACTGTCCATGTGCTCTGCAGGTTCCCACCAGATGAGAGGCAGAGCACCAGAGCTGAAACCACCCTGAAAAGGAGTTTTATCTTACATTTGCCATAGGATAGAGCTCTTAGCTGCCAGGGAGGAGCTCATGCTGTGGGTCAGGAGCAGCGCAGGTTGGGGTTGCAGGGGGACCTGATCCCCAGCTCTGCAGACCCCCAAAAGTGCAGAGCAGAGCACAGGGGATGCCTCTGCACTCAGATCCCTGCAGCACCTGGTAAGCCTGGGTGAAGACAGTTTGCATGCTGGAAACTAGTCTTCAGGAGCTCAGAGGTGTCTACAAGCTCTCTACCAGGAAAGCAACAACCCCAAGACCTCGTTCCTGGTGGGCGAGAGTCACCGGCTGGTGCTGTGCCTTGAAACCCACCTGGAAATGTCCCTTTCGGCCATGATGCAGGCAGGAGGTCCCTCTGCTCGAGCGCCTGTCCTCGTGGAGGACAACAAGGGTTTCACCGTCGGCGCTGGTGAAGCCGTGGTTGTACAGGACCTCAGTGAGTGAGTTCCCCTAGTCTGGCAGGCAGAGCCGAGTGCAATGGGAGACCGTAGGCACGCTATCCATGCAAAAGCTATTCACAGCTCTGTAATGATATGTAATTGTTTGTATGCGGTCAGCTAAAAATTATGCTGATAGGTTCCATATTGCAGACACTTCGCAGAGGAACTGCCGTAGTCCCGTGGGTAACGCTGAAAATACACACACTTTTCCATTTAATATTAAAACTCATGTTTTGTATGAAAAATTCAGTATTGCCTTTCTGAAGTTCCATGCTCGTGCACAAAATAACTTATTTTTTATATGCAAAAATTGAACCTGATTAGTTTATGAGATAATCAAAAGCGAAGGCTTTTCTTTAAAAGAAATATGTTTCTTTGATTTCTTCTTTTTTTTTTTTCTGTGTTCCTGGTGATCTTAACAAGACTGGAACTTCAGATACTTGAATTTTCTGTATAATTGAAATAACTTGAGGCCTTGTGCACTGATGGTGCAGAAAAAACAAACAAACAATCAGCAAAAGTTAGAAAAAAGCTCAGCCGATGTTGTGTAATGGGAGAAAAACAGTAGTTCAAAAGTCTCTGTAGTCTGACCTGTAATCACAAACACAAACCTGCTGTTATCGTGGTTGTACAGCTGGGCTTGGTATCGCTGCTCGTCAGAGCTAGCTTCAGTATGACTTAATAGGCATCTTCTACCTTAACATATTTAGTTTTCTTTTAAGTGTCATCTTCATTCCATGTTGCCTACATTTGTGATGTCTGGTGTAGGGTAATTGTAACTTTTCTGTGTAGCATTTGCGTACCCTGAAGTTAAACCTTATTTCCATTTGAAAATACTTCTCATGCATGGAAATACATATAAACTGGAGTTCGTTCTCTCCTGGGAGCTTTTAGAAAGATACTTCAGGCAACTCTGAGCATGAAATCTTATCTGTGTGGGTCCCCTTGCCCCTCTTCTGTCCCTGCTCACATCTGGTGGAGATGACGGATGCTGCTGGGCAGTGGGCTCCTGCTGCCCAGAGGAGCGGGGTCCTTCCAGGCGATGCTCGGGAAGAGAAGCTGCAAAACCAGTGATTGACCTGGCTGTCCAGCCTGGTCAAAGACATGGAAAACAAGCTGAGGGAAAATAGAGGTGCAAGGCTTTTCCCCGTTTTCTGCCAAAGGGATGTTTTCAGGCTGGAAAGTGGCTTTTCATGTTGAGATCATCTTGTTTAGGGTGAACCTCGCTCTGGCCGGGCTTGGTGCCAAGCGCTGTTGGTGTCTGTCAGCTGTTTTAGATGGGGTGCGATCTCATCTTTGCACGAGCAATGGTGGTGGGACCCCCTGCCCATGGGCAGACCCACTCTGTGGCACACTGGCTCATCTCCAGCGTCCCGCATGAGTGGAAAATCGCTTGAGACGCATCTCAAATCAGTTGGAGCAGGGCTTTATCATCAGGTGGATTTTGTATGTTCCCGTCCCTGCTTCCCACTCCCCTTCCTGGTGCCTTGTTTTAGCTTTGATTAAACCTTTTGGGTTTGGGTTTTGTTTTTTGTTTTTTATGATATAAGTTGACAAAGCTGCCCTGCGCTCAAAGAGTTGCAGTATTTTGGAGGGATATAATGAATCGAAAGCAAAGCAGAGCGCGAATAAGACTGGAACGTGAGCCTGCAAAGGGCTGTAACTGTCTGGACGGCTGATGTTGGGGAGAGGAGTCTGCCTGGAGACAGGGGGGACCCGCGGAAATATTTCTACTCAAGCTTCTTAAAATTTAACTTTAAAACCAATTAAAAAAAAGTTCCTTTCCCTTCTGTTCTCCTTTTTCCTTTCTTTCTCCACCACTCTGAATAAAACTTTTTTTGGTTTGCAGGATTTTTTTTTATTTTAAAAGAGCTAGGTTTTTGGTTTCTAGATTTTTTTTCCCTGTGAAATATTTTGTCTTGTTTTTTCTTTGATCTGTGTTCAAACTTTAGCAGTAACTTCTTATTTTGAAGGCTGTGATTATAGTGTGATTCCTTATTTTCTTCCTGAAATCCTTTCTCAGTTTACAGTTTATATAACTGATGTGACAAATCTTTCCTGCCTTACCGTATATGATATTGCGGTTAAATGTCTCTATCCCTCACTTAATTAAATCCAATTGTTTACTTTCAATTCGGATCCAATTAATATATTATAATAGCTGGTTCTGGACTTAATAGAACTGGTCAAAACTTTTCAAAACTGCCCACACAATGTAAATCCCATCTGGAAATTAGTTTTTGTTCTGACCTGGAATGAAAGCAAGTATGCATTTTTTTTTTGGAAATAAAAAATATGTTGCGGTTGCAAGTATTGGTGGAAAAAATACTGATCTTGTAACTTATATGTACGCATTTAGTTCTCAACCCTGTTTTGCTTTATAATGTATTGTATTTTCAGTGTGGCATCCCAACAGGAGCCATCTGATGGGCTACCCCGGTGATAGTCACAGACATTAGGACAGACGCTGTGCAATAAGGAGCATAGATCGGAATGTCTTCAAGTGTGGATCTGCCTCGTTGCAAGAGGAGACATGATGAGCAAGGGAAAAAAGAATAGGACGTGTCATACTGTATCACTTAGGAGCAATTAAAAATGCTTTGGTGCGTCCTAGAAGTGCATTTGTGTAGGACACCAGGATTTGCATGTCATGGGTGAATGTAGAAATAACACAGGAAAACACAAATGTGGAAACAGGAAACAAAATCCCCCAGCCCAACATGAAAGGTTGGGATTTTGAAATGAAATTCCCAGATTTTCCAGCATCGGGTTCCTGAGAGAACGTGCATTTCGATCTCTCTGGGGAACGCGTTTGCAAGCAGCTCAGCTTTTGAGAACGCTGCTTGTAATAAAACATTTCTGATTAAAAGAATGTTGATGAAAGACTTCTGAGCCATCTAAAAAGCTTTAGAGCTGTTTTCCTCTTCTCTCCGTTTCTGCTGACTCCAGTCACTAATGCTGTCAACACTATTTAGGAATACCATTTTTCAGTGTTCAGCGTTGTTTCCTGATAAAGAAATAATGGCAGAAAAAAAAAATACCCTGCTGACATGTTGAAGGCAGCCGGTGACTGCTGTGAGCAAGGTGACATTTGCAGACACCTGGGGTTTAGGTGTCTGCGTTCCCTTGTTAGCAGTTTTTAATCAGCATATGGCATGTCTGCATGGCAAAATGCAAGGAGTGATCAACCCAGCAGCCCCCTGGTCTAATACGGCTATTATTATTTTTTTTTCCACTACCCAAGTAACTTCTGTAGACATTTGGATCTAGCTGTGTTGTGCTGTTCCAGAGGTGCAGTGAAAGGAGATCTCAAAATCCCATCCCTGCTGTCGCAAGTTGTGCTTAGCTGTCGAGCCACCTCCATCCGGCTATGTCTTGAAGAGGGGGTCTCTGCGCCAGCCTGTGCTGGAGGTATGTTAGCCAACGGTGTCCTGACCGTGAGTCACTGCAACACAGCCATTGCCTGCAACTTTCCGTTTCTTGGCCCTGCTATTTTTGGGTCTGGTAATTACGAGGTGAGCTGTGAATCACCGGTGTCTCGCTTTACGCTGAGAGGAAACCAGGCAAATTGTGTTAACGTGCTTGGCAGGAGGGATTCTTGTTCTCCAGCGTTTTACAGGCTTTGGCCCTTCTTCTTGCTCCCCAGAGCGATGTGCTCACCCTTCCTGATGTGTAACTGTCACGCAGGATCTGAGCAATGGCCAGACAGCCTTGGGCTCGTGCTGCCTCCAGCTGGGTGTCATCTTCTGGGCAGGAACTGATGCTTCAAAGGCCTGGAGGGGATTCCCAAGGGGTCTAAGAGGCTTTTATTGATTTGTTCATCCAGTCCACATAGGCAAGGTTTAGATTAGAAAATAGCATCAAATGGATAACTCAGAAGGAGGCCAGACACACATGTTGACATTGGCCTCTACGGCAGCTGGTCTTGCAATGTTTCTGCCATTCAAAGGGACGATCGTGCCCTAAGGCTTGTTCTTCACCGTTTGCTGTGTTGTGTGGTGCACGGCATCACAACTATGTTGAAGCTCGCCAGTAAAGCTAGGGGGAAATCACTGACCCTTTTTGTAGAGGCTTTGATGATGAGTCAAGAGAGGAACATGCAGGACTTTTCTGCTTCTTTGTAAGGGACGGACCCTGTGACGGTGCTAAAGCCCCCAGCAGGTAGAAATGCGTGCATGGCCTTCTGCACAAGCAGCGGTTAAATCCCATCCCTCTGCTTCGCTGCTTTGCTTCCCACCACCTGAGCAGGATAGATTCACCTGTAGCCTTGTTTTAATGGCCCGAGATTCCTACGTGTGTTTGTTTTTCTTGCACGTTCCTGCCTCTGCCGGTCCCTTCCCAGCTGAGCTTCACAATCCAACATGCCTGTTAAAAACTGGTCTCCAAATGCTTCCTCTCAGATACAAGAAAACCGAGGGTGTATTTTTGCACCCAGGAATCCCCAGGCTGGAAAGGAGTCTGCAGGGATCGTCAGGCTGTTGGAGAAGGACTGAGGGCAGAGGAGCTGTAAACCTGCAGGAATTTGAAAAACCTATTTTAATTTAAAAGGAATGTCCTTTTGTTCCCAAATGGATGGGCCTCGCTCCAAAGGCACTCAGGTGCAGTAACTGTTACCAGATGGGCTGTGAAAAGCAACACAAACAGGTGGTGAGGACAACCATAGACTTTAATTTCCTTGTCAGCTTCTCCCTATGCCTTACATACCCCCTCGAGAACAGGAGGATGAGGGGAGCTGTCATATTTGTATACGGCAAAAGGAATGACTGTTGAGGGGATATTCTGCAACTGTATACAGCAGGTCAAGCTCTTGGACTGTCGTCTGGGCCAAGATGCGCAGTGATTAATTTAAAATATAATTCACTAGCACATGCATTTTTATAGATACAATGATCAATACATTTTAATGCATGCTGACATGTATATTGGCTCAGATCCTCCCAGGTGTAGCTACTGTTCTTCCACGTAAGACAGTGGGACCACACTGACATTGCCCACCTGGGGCTCTGCCCGGTGTGCTTGGGAGTGTTGAAGGCTGGGGCTGCAGGAGCATGAGAAGCCTTGATGGTTTTGGTGGGACCCCACACGTACTGGAGCACTTGAACGTCACACAGGTGACGGCATACCAGTCCTGCAGCCTGAACAGGGCTGTTTTACAGAGGCAGCAGTGGCCTCCTGCTCCTGCAGGCTGGTGCCTTGCTCTCCACTGCTTTCGGTGTGGCTTCGCATGGTAACTGGTGTGTTTGCTGTGCTGTGACTGGTGTGATGAGTGAACATACTTTGGTACGGGTAGGGTAGAAGCAAAACCAGTGTCATAGCCTCCAGCTTGTCCTAATAAAGAGCATTCAAACCACTGGAGCCGTCGCTCGCTGCTTGCCAGTACCTGCGAGTGCTCATGCATTGATAGCTCCATCGCTGCTGCTACATTGGCATATGCAACAGCACTGGGAAAAGGAGAGATGGTGCAAAGCAGATATTTGCTAAGAAAAGCCATTTCATAGCTATCTCAGCACTAATGTTGCTCCAGTGACCATAGGTACAGGCAGTAGTGATAAGTGTGACTCCAGATGTATGGATGTACTGATTTATTGCTGGAGTAAATACAAACCAGGCACAAAACAATATGTGCTCTTATGGGACGCACAGTTTGTTGCTCACCACCTTGCTGGCTTGGGCAAGGCAAGGGGGATGCTGGAGAGTGCACAACTGTTCTTCAGTCAACAGTATCCAACATGCTTATGCTCAGTCTCTCTCTTACTGGGTTTTTGCTTCCCAATTGCAATGCTATCCATGTCTGTCTGACTGTATTTCCATGTCCTTGGCTTGCAAGCACACAAGTGAAACTGGCTTTTGTGCTTGTCTCTTGTTCAGGCCCGTATCAGTCATGCTTCATTTCCACTGTCTGACACCTCTTTGTTCACAGCTCCCCATCTCCGCCTGAACTGACGCCTCTCAATCTGGATGCGGGGAGGATAAGAGAATGCAGTCCTCATTTAAGCCAAATGGAGCTACATACAGAGAACAGCATTACCTTGGCTGTAGTCAAGCCCAGAGTAATAGCCGTTTCCTTGTACTTTCCTCACTTAGAGATGGGCACACCTTCTCACAGTCAGTAAGAGCTGGCGCAGGACAAGTGCTTACCCCAGAGGGCTGTATTATGTCCCAGTAAGGGCATTTGGAAGGAAATTTCCTTAAGGAAATTTGAAGCCGAGAGAACAGGGGTTCATGATTCTTTATGGTCAGAAAATGTTTCTAGGATTGTCAGGAATGGGGAGATGAATTTTGGACTTTTTTGTTTCTTTTTAGAGGTAAGGAAGCTGAGACATGGGGTAGCTTGAGAGAGCTGGTACAAGTCTTACGCAGTTGAGCTGGGAAATAAATGCTTGGAGTCAATGCGCTTTCCACCTCCTTTTTACACGGGGACTAACACAGCATGGTTAAGGTGTGGTGTTGAAATTGTGCAAGCCCCTTCCTAAGCCCTTTACATCTTGAAACTCTTGAGGTTATTCACCCCGTTGCTGTGGGCTCTTAGCTTTCTAGCCTTTCACATCTCCAATTGTCTCTCCTAGATGATCAGCTGAACTCAGAAGAGAAGAAGAAAAGAAAGCAGAGAAGGAACAGGACTACCTTCAACAGCAGCCAGCTCCAGGCATTAGAGAGGGTCTTTGAGAGGACACACTACCCTGATGCCTTTGTACGGGAAGACCTTGCACGCAGAGTCAACCTCACTGAAGCCAGAGTTCAGGTAATCCCCGCACCTTGTATCCAGACACACCTCGCCTGGGGGGGGGTCATCAGGCCATTCCAGTAGAGCAGCAGAAATCCTCAAGGTCTGCGTGGCACACTAGGGTCACCAAGCTTCTGGGTCATTCTGTATTGCAGTCCCAAGCATGCCATGCCTTGAGGAGGACTGCCAGGTCTGATCTGCCACCGTACTTACCACCTGCCCAGTCAGATGTGTTCATATGGTTCGTTCAAGGTGAAGATGTTGGATGTCCTGTGCTCAGGCTGCTCACATTACCTTGAGCTGCTCCGCTCTTAGCTTGCAAGCCTGCACCTTCTGAAGGTCAAAGCAGACCATGGAACATGTCTTGTACAGCACTGCCAGGCCTTGCTGCCTACAGCACCGGACAGACCTGGTCCCACAGGGACCTCACTGAGCCAGTTCCTCGCATGAGGGCTTTATCAGGAGAGACATAAGGATTGTCTTGTCATTAGAGTTTCTAGTGACAGGCATGCCAAAGCAGCCTGCTTTTAGAGAGTCCTGTCTTGCCCAGAAGGGCAGAGGTGGTGTGGTAAAAGGGTGAGTGTCACAGCAGAGCTGGTTGTGATGGTTGGTGGGTCTGTGCGCTTCCTATCCCAGGTGTGGTTCCAGAACCGGAGAGCCAAGTTTCGCCGGAACGAGAGGGCCATGCTGGCCAGCAAGAACGCCTCTCTGCTCAAATCCTACTCAGGGGACGTGACCGCCGTGGAGCAGCCCATAGTACCTCGCCCGGCTCCGAGACCCACCGACTATCTCTCCTGGGGTACTGCCTCGCCTTACAGGTGGGTGAATAACCCCTCTGGGGCTGATGAATTTCTGGCATAGTATAGAGCAGCCTGAGAGTGGCCCTCAGACAGCTCTAATGGGCTGTTTATATTCACATGGGACAACTGGAGGATACAGCAGTTTGACCACCCCACTGGTTTTCTTTACCTGTTCCCATCCCACCCCATCTCACTGCCAGGCTTGCAAAGTGGGCTTGGTTCAGCATCATTGTGGCTCTCTGGGAGTTGGGTCCATGGGAGGTTGTAGCTTTTTTGATGGTCTCTTTCTGCAATTCAGGAAGTTTTGAAAGAGGATCAGGTAGAAGTACATGAAAACAGAAGGGGTTGCACTTGCTTCCCTAGTGCATCCAGTTTAAAGCAAGGAGGAAACTTTTCCATGAGACACAGATCCAAGGGAGGCGATGGCAGAGCACTTGGGGAGGCTCAGCCACCACAGTGGAAGAGGGTGTTCTGTGACTGTCCCGTGGCAGTCACTGGTTGGGATGCAAGGAAGGGCTGGGAATTCACTCCATGCATGTTGCTCGCAGCCCTCCCCTCAATGGTCGGCACTGAACTGGTGAGCAATTTCTTTCTAGTTGCTAGAGCACCAGTGTGTGTGTGAATGAGCTGTGCTGTTATGCGGTGCTGTGGTTTGCCCGCAGTAAGGACCAGGTTCTCTGGGTGGCAGACTGGTGTTCAATGTCCGTCTCCTCTGGCCAGCACTGCTTAAAGGGTGGCAGGAAAGAAGTGCAGATGTGGCAACCCTAGTCTGCTCAAAGGATCTGGGATGTCTGTGCATGTCACAGGCCTCCCTGTCCTTCTCTGTGCCATCCACAGCCCAGCAGGAACTGGGTGTGGATGCAAGATCCACAGGATGTGTTCGTTTGTGGGGAGCCAGCTGGCTTGTAGGCAGTTAAAAATGAGGTTGGTGGGTATTTTTTAGCACAGTGGCTTCATTGTTGGTCAGAACCTTGGAGCCTTTGGCTGGATTTCTTCCTGTTCATCTGGCTTGAGGACAGCCAGCTTCCCACTGGCTTTCAGGAATCACACCAGGCCCGGGACCTCTCTTCCTCGGTCACCTTGACCCCCTTCTTGCACCCCAAACATTGTTTGCACAGTTAGGTCTGCAAACACGTGGCTTCCCTGATAGTTTGCTGCTTCAGTGCCATGGGGTCCTTCCTCATCCACCCTGTAGCTCTAGAGGAACAAGTCATAGGTTCACCTGCTCCAGATACTGAACGGGATGCTTTTGATGACCACCAGTTTGGTCTTAGAGATGGCCCTTATCCTTTGGATTTTATCTGAGGACTGCTGTCTGGCAAAATCCCCCTTTTGGGGTTTAGGCTTTGTCTCTGTGAAGTGTTCCACACTGTTGCATCCTAGGGAGGAGTTTGGGTGGGTGAGTTCAGGGGAGAGAAGCACAGGTCTTTCCCCACCCTGCTGAGACTGCTTTGGTCCCAGTACCAGATGCCTGCTTGAACGCTCGTGGCTTATTTCTACCTCTCACACTTTTAAAAATAGATCGTCCCTCCCAAGATGTTGTTTACACGAGGGGCTTCATAACGGCTTCTAGGAGAAGACCCTGCAAAGGTAACTTCCAGGGGCACACTGGGAAGGGCTGTCTGGGGCTGCTCTGGGCAATGAGAAGCCCAAAGCATCTGGGATGTGCGAACAAGGAGAGCAAGGGAGAAGGGAAAGCCTTAGGGATGGTTTTCTCCCCCTGAGGTCCAGACCTGGCTGTGCTTCTCCATGGTGCAAAGACGCATCCTCACTGTCTTGATGGCTTCTCCTTGACTTAAGCCAAGACATTTCAGCGAAGATATTTGCGGCTTACAGCCATCCCCACTGGCTGACACACCAAACCAGCATGGACTGTCACCCTCCCACTGCCCTGCAAAGGAGTAGAAGGCATTAGCAGAGGAGCAGAGCAGCTGGTTTCCGCAATGTGGGGTGGTCAGGACCCTCAGACACTTTATCCTCCCCAGACTTTCTAATCCTGCTGGGCATCTCTTAGCAATCACATGCGTCTTAATGGGCACCCGGGCCAGGTTGTCACAGCCTCCTTAAAGCTTTCAACTGAGTAGGGTTATTAAAGTATTGGACACTTGGTGAAAAACAGCCTTGCAGAGTGTTTGCATGGCCCTCTGCCCCCTCCCCATCTCCCCGGCGCTGCCGTA